GCTGAGCCCGCCCTGCCTTTCCTTGACTATGCTCTACCCCAGACTTTCTCTGTAGGCTTTCTTACTTCTTTACTTCCTCCTGCCCGGCAAGCTGGGAACTTGGGATTGTGCGGAGAGCCACTTCGAACATGCAGGGAAGGCATTTGGTGGCCTTCTTAGCCATCGTGACCACAGTATATTTCTGGTGCTGAATGTTTCGATGATAAACTCTTTTTGTTTTTGTTGTTTTGAGACAGCGTCTCAAGCTGTCCCTGTGGATTAGAGTGCCATGGCATCCATGGCGTCATAGCTTATAGCAACCTCAAACTCTTGGGCTGAAGGGATTCTCTTGTCTCAACCTCCCAAGTAGCAGGGACTACTGGCATCCACCACAACACCCGGCTATTTTTTGTTTTGTTTAGCAGGCCCACGGCTGGGTTCGAACCCACCAGGCCCAGTGCATGTGGTGGGTGCCCTAACCACTGAGATACAGGCGCTGAGCCCAGGGTCTCGCTCTTGCTCAGGCTGGAACTCCTTTACGGGGGTGGGGTGTGGGTGGGAGGCATGGAGGACTGCCTGGAAGCTGACCTGTGCTTCCCTCTAGGGACTTCCCACAACACGCGCCTCCTTGTCCCGTGGGGAGAGCAATCACGAGTATCCTAGATGCCTCGGAGATTAGAAGCGGATAGGGCCAATCTGAGTCGTTAGGCCTTTTGGGGGGGGTTGAGATGGAGATACAGGGCAGAAAAGTCTGGAAGACGACCGCAGAGCGACGCGGCGGCGGGAGACTACAATTCCCGTCATGCATCGGCGCAGCGACGCCTGCGCACTGAACGCCAGTTGCCCATGCGGCCCTAGGGCTGGGAGCGCGGCGCCGCGCTCTGCTGCGGGGGAGGCCATGGCGGAACCTTCCCAGGCCCCGACCCCGGCCACACAGCCCCGGCCCCTTCAGTCCCCAGCCCCTGCCCCAACTCCGACTCCTGCGCCCAGTCCGGCTTCAGTCCCGGCTCCAGCTCCCACTCCGGCCACAGTCCCCGCCCCAGCTGCAGCTCCAGCTGGGAGCACAGGGACTGGGGTGTCCGGGGTAGGAAGTGGGGGGACCGGGAGTGGGGGGGATCCGGCTCGACCTGGCCTGAGCCAGCAGCAGCGCGCCAGCCAAAGGAAGGCGCAAGTCCGAGGGCTGCCGCGTGCCAAGAAGCTTGAGAAGCTAGGGGTCTTCTCGGCTTGCAAGGTGGGGGCGGGGCCTGGGGCGAAGGGGGCGGGGCTTGGGGCATCCAAGGGCTCGGGTGGTTAGGGGGGCAAAGCTGTGACCGAGGAAGGGCTCCTTCCCCAGGAGTACAGGTCATTGACTGATCCTTCTGCTTCCAGACCAATGAAACCTGTAAGTGTAATGGCTGGAAAAACCCCAAGCCCCCCACAGCACCCCGCATGGATCTGCAGCAGCCAGCTGCCAACCTGAGCGAGTTGTGCCGCAGTTGTGAGCACCCCTTGGGTAAGGCAGGCAGCACCCTTGAAGTTGGAGGTGGGAGAGGCAGGTGCTGGGTTTTACTTACGGTGACTTAAGTGCCACAAAGCCTAATCTCTGAAAAACTAAAAATGCCTCATAGAGGTATTGGGTTGAGAGTGTATATTCCCCAAGGAAGGAGAAAGGAAATCTGCCAGCCCAGAAAAGGTGAGGGCAACCAAAGGGCTGTTGTAGGAGCAGGCAGTCTCACCGTTGGTCACAGTGGTGGGAGGGACAGAGGGTATATCTTGGCTGGCTATGAAGAGGGGCAGGAGCTTTGTTGATCTCTTCTTTCCATTCTTCCAACTCTACCACCTGTCTTGCAGCTGACCATGTGTCCCACTTGGAGAATGTGTCAGAGGATGAGATTAACCGGCTGCTGGGAATGGTGGTGGATGTGGAGAATTTGTTCATGTCTGTTCACAAGGAGGAGGACACAGACACCAAACAGGTCTATTTCTACCTCTTCAAGGTGAGCTTGCACTGAAGGAGAGCATGAATGAAGGAGGTGAGGTGGCGGTGGGAGTCTGCAGCTCTGAGCACTGCCCACCCCCGCACCTTGCTTTTCTCTTTAGCTCCTGCGGAAATGCATCCTGCAGATGACCCGGCCTGTGGTGGAGGGGTCCCTGGGCAGCCCCCCATTTGAGAAGCCTAATATTGAGCAGGTGGGCTGGGTAAAGTGATAAAAAGGGGATTGGGAGTAGCTTTGAAGAGGCGGAGCCTGTGCTATCCATGTCCCTCAAGCTGAAAACAGGGGAGACTCTCAGAGGAGGGAGGATGGTTTATGCTAACCTCAGGATAAGCATGGGAGTAGGGGGGAGGGCATATTTCCCCTCACAGAGGGCCCCAGAGTGAGAAGAGAGCCTTGTCCCTGCCCTCAGGGAGCATTCCTTGGATAAGAAGCCCCTGCTGGCTGCTTATGCCTCATTATTGGTTCTGTCCCCCTCACACTGCTTCTTAGGGTGTGCTGAACTTTGTGCAGTACAAGTTTAGTCATCTGGCTCCCCGGGAGCGACAGACAATGTTTGAGCTGTCAAAGATGTTCCTGCTCTGTCTTAACTACTGGAAGCTTGAGACACCTGCCCAATTTCGGCAGAGGTCTCAGGCTGAGGATGTGGCTACCTACAAGGTTAATTACACCAGGTAGGCCCAGCTGGGTGCAGGCTGGGAGGAGGATTATAGGCCTAGACTGGGTTCAATAGTTTCCATCCTCACCTACCACCGCCCCAACTCCCCCACCCCAGATGGCTGTGTTATTGCCATGTGCCCCAGAGCTGTGACAGCCTTCCCCGCTACGAAACCACTCATGTATTTGGGCGAAGCCTTCTCCGATCCATCTTCACTGTTACCCGTCGGCAGCTGCTGGAAAAGTTCCGCGTGGAGAAGGACAAGCTGGTACCTGAGAAGAGGACCCTCATTCTCACTCATTTCCCCAAGTAAGGCTCATTCTGGCCTATTGGGATTTTGCCCCAAGTTCACATCCTCGCTGTTGTCCCCTTTTTTCCAGGAAGGCTTCCTGGATTGGTCCCTCCTCTCCCTCCATGGGCCTTCTGGGATTTGGGTGTCTACCTGGCAGACTTGCCCATGGCCCAGAAGCAACTTGCTAGTATTTGCCTTTGCACGTACTAGTCTGGGGATGGCAGGTACATGGCCCGAGCTAACGCTACCCCTCCCATGCCCCTGGCAGACGTTACTAATTGCTTCCCGTGGGGGCCTGGACACGACTTCAGAATCCTTCCCACCATAGTAGCCCAAGAACCAGAGCTTACACTTGAGGTGAAATCAGTTTCCACTCCTTTTCTAGTCTGTTCTTTACAGTATTCCTCTGTTCTGCCATACCTTTCTCCCATTTTAAACTGCTGTTCAAAAAGCCTTTATGGGGGTGGATTCTGAGCCTGTTCGATGCTGTGGGGATTGAGGGGACTTAAGGTAACATGTTGCCCTGCCTGGGCATCAGCTATGCCATGAAGCATAGCAAAACTGGCCTTTGTGACCTCTTTCCTGGAGATCTACCTTCAGTTTGAGGTCCACAGAAGGCAAGGGCCTGTGCCTCCCCCTGCAGACTAGGGCTTCCCAGAGGGCAGAAGCTGTCTCCTCTTTCAGGCTCCCAGTTCCCTAAGAGCAGGGTCTGTCTCTGACTGGCCTGCAGTCCCTCTGGTGCCCGGCCCAGGCTTCACCCTTGGTTGTAGGACAGAGTTATGGGACAGACTGTGCCTTCCCTACAGATTCCTGTCCATGCTGGAGGAGGAGATCTATGGGGCAAACTCTCCAATCTGGGAGTCAGGCTTCACCATGCCACCCTCAGAGGGGACACAGCTGGTGCCCCGGCCGGGTATGTGTAACCTCAAGCTCTACTTGGCCTTCCTTGCCAAGCTACCCCCCTGGATGGGAGGGGGACTAGGAATGGTAACAGTGAGAAAATGCAGGAGGGCTCTGCTTGGTCAGAGGACTGAGATCCTGCTAAGGGACCTGCCAACAGCTTTGACCCTCCCCCCACCATCGCTCACTACTTCTTAGCCACGGTCAGTGCTACGGTTGTTCCCAGTGCCCCCATCTTCAGCCCCACAATGGGTGGCAGCAGCAGCAGCTCCCTGAGTCTGGATTCTTCAGGGGCCGAGCCCATGCCAGGTGGGTACTTGACCCCTGACCTCTGACTCTATTCACCCCTCTCCCAACCTCTCTTGCTTTTCATGGGCAATCTTGCCAACCTCCCTAACAGGTGAGAAGAGGAAGCTCCCAGAGAACCTGACCCTGGAGGATGCTAAGCGGCTCCGTGTGATGGGTGACATCCCCATGGAGTTGGTCAATGAGGTCATGCTGACCATCACTGACCCTGCTGCCATGCTGGGGCCTGAGGTGAGTGGCTAGCCTGCTGACTAGTAGGGGAGGGGTCCTACCCACCCACCTGAGGTCCTAGCTCACCGCTCCTCTTCTGAGCCTAGACGAGCTTGCTGTCAGCCAACGCAGCCCGGGATGAGACAGCCCGCCTGGAGGAACGCCGAGGCATTATTGAGTTCCATGTCATCGGCAACTCCCTAACACCCAAGGCCAACCGGCGGGTGTTGCTTTGGCTTGTGGGGCTGCAGAACGTCTTCTCCCACCAGCTGCCTCGCATGCCCAAGGAGTATATCGCCCGCCTTGTCTTTGACCCGTGCGTTACCAGGAGAGCCCCTACCTCATGGCACCACACCCAGGGCCTTTCCTCCTTGGCCTCCCGCCCTCAAAATTAGGGACCCCTTCTCACTATTTCTGAGTCCCAACCTCAGTTCCCAGCCCTGAGTACAGCTCACACCTTAAGATGTGGGGACCTGGGAAGCAGTGGGGGCAGGTAGGGACTGTGACAAGGCTTCTCTCTTTTAGGAAGCATAAGACTCTGGCCTTGATCAAGGACGGGCGGGTCATTGGTGGGATCTGCTTCCGCATGTTCCCCACCCAAGGCTTCACGGAGATTGTCTTCTGTGCTGTCACCTCAAATGAGCAGGTCAAGGTGAGCACAGCGCCTGGCCCTGCTCCTGTCCACTTCTGAGTATGGACCAGGTCAAGACAGTGGGGTGTGTGAAGCAGCAGCCCCCAGCCCCTTTTTCCTTAGTGGCCAGTGCCTCACATCCTCACAAGGTGGCAGTTGTACTTGGATAACTGGGTTAGGAAAACACCTGTTGACTAATCAGCCAAGAATCAGCGACGTTGGACCTGTGAACTTGTGGTGTCTTCCTCACGAGGACATTTACATACACTGAGGAATGAGTAATCATTGCCTTATCCCTGTGCTGATAGTCCTGGCTTATGTCCTTTAATTGTCACAATAGACCCACATGCAGGGCCTCTCACTCCCCTGTGTCACATACCCTGGATCTGTGGTGCCTGCTTGGTCCTGATGTGTGGGAGACAGTGCCTCTTCAGGGCTCAGATGCTGCCATGAGCAGGTCTCTGCGACTCCCCTCCCTACTCTCCCAGCTCTGAGCCCAGGACTGGTAATCAGTGTTCTATGTTGGATTTGGACCTGACCCTGCCTGACTTTGGACACATTTCCTAACATAGCTGTTAGGAAAACCAAAGTTTTCTCTTCTGTAAGATAGAGGTAATGATACTTACCTCTTGGGTTAACTTGAGAATCAGCCTGTAAAGTAGCAAGTGACATACCTGGCCCAGAACAAGTGCCTGGAACTCACTTAGCTCCCCATGAATCCCTTTCCTCCGCTGGTTGCCTCCTCCTCCCTGCCCCTGGATCCCCTCACTCTCCCCACCTCCTCTCCAATCTGTCCCCTCCTCTCTCAGCTCTGGGTCTTACTGAGACCTCTCCAGTGCCAGGCTGTCTCTTTACTCCATAAGCCCTGTTCCCTTCCCTGCAGGGTTATGGGACCCACCTGATGAACCACCTGAAGGAATATCACATCAAACACAACATTCTCTACTTCCTCACCTATGCTGACGAGTATGCCATCGGCTACTTCAAAAAGCAGGTGACCTCTGGCCTCACCCCACACCTATCCTTTGCCTGGAGCCAGGGGTCATTCTGTCCAGCCCCTTGCTATGTATGGAGCAGAAGTTCTTTTGTGTCCCCATCCCACCTGACACCTATGAGGAAGACCTTCATAGGCATCATCTTCCCTCCTGCTGCTGCTCTAGTGAAGAATAAGGCCTGGGGCCCAATTGGGCAAGCCAGGAGAACTGGGAGCCTGTTGGGGGAGAATTGAGATGGGACAGCTGACTAGAACCTCCTTTCTAGGGACATACTGAGCTCTTGCAGTGCCACAGATTGAGAAGGGAAGAAGGGACATAACATCCACTGCCCTACAGATGCTCCTGGTTGGGGGGTTGTGCTAGGAAAGTTGGGAAATAGTTGCTGATGGGTTAGGTCATAACTGTCAACTCCCCAGGGCTTCTCCAAGGACATCAAGGTCCCCAAAAGCCGCTACCTGGGCTACATCAAGGACTATGAGGGAGCAACACTGATGGAGTGTGAGCTGAACCCCCGGATCCCCTACACGGAACTGTCCCACATCATCAAGAAGCAGAAGGAGGTTGTGAGCATGTGTATGCGTCCGTAGGGTCTTTGTGGAGGGTGTGCACACACGTGTAGACCTGTACTCTGTGTGTGTGTGTGTGAGGAGGGGATGGGCCAGGGTCTTGGTTCCTGCTCTGCTTTGTAGGAGGTTGGAAGGGAGGCACTGGATCTGGTGGCCGTGCAGTGTGGATTTTGCCACTGTGAGCTCTGACTGCGGCCCTGGGACAGGTTGCTAACTGTGGCTGGAGTTGGCCCCTCAGACCTTTCTTCCCCTCAGATCATCAAGAAGTTGATTGAGCGCAAACAGGCTCAGATTCGCAAGGTCTACCCTGGGCTCAGCTGCTTCAAGGAGGGTGTGAGGCAGATCCCTGTGGAGAGTGTCCCCGGCATTCGTGAGCAGGGGACTTGGCTGTGGGGGCCGGAGGGCGTATTGCTTGGGATGTGGACAGATGTTCTTAGGGATTTCTCCCTACTTTGCAGGAGAGACAGGCTGGAAACCACTGGGGAAGGAGAAGGGGTGAGTGTTTTGTCAAGGGAGCAAAGATGGAAAGGGTGGGCAGAGGGACTCAGCGCCTCAGACTTGGTGTCTCTCATGCCAGGAAGGAGCTGAAGGACCCTGACCAGCTCTACACAACCCTGAAAAACTTGCTGGCACAGATTAAGGTGGGGAGAACAAATCCCCTTCTGGGGTTCCAGCACCTGTGGCTTTACTACCCAGCCTGGGGTGGGTGGGAGCCATGCATTGGCACAGCAGGGCTTTCCCAGCTTGTCACTTTTCTCCAGTCACACCCCAGTGCCTGGCCTTTCATGGAACCTGTGAAGAAGTCAGAGGCCCCTGACTACTATGAGGTCATCCGCTTCCCCATTGGTGAGTACCCTCCATTCCCTGCCTTTCCTCTTTTGCCCCCATATCAACTCCTATTCCTGTCTTCCCTGGGCCATGCAGCTCCTGGGGCCCTCCCCAGGGTTAGCCTAGCTGCTCTCCTCTGCCTCTGAGAGCTGTGCTCCTCTCCTGCTGCCCCAGACCTGAAGACCATGACGGAGCGGCTGCGCAGCCGCTACTACGTGACCCGGAAGCTCTTTGTGGCTGACCTGCAACGGGTCATTGCCAACTGCCGGGAGTACAACCCACCAGACAGCGAGTACTGCCGCTGCGCCAGTGCCCTGGAGAAGTTCTTCTACTTTAAGCTCAAGGAGGGAGGGCTCATTGACAAGTAGTCCCCAGCTTTGGACCACAGCCCTGACTTGGAATGTCTGCCTGGGATCTGATCTGATTCTTAGGGTGCCCTGGACCCCAGGTCTCAACTCTCAGCTTGAGACACTCCAGCTGGGGGCCCTCCCGGCCCTGATCCTGCCGCCCTTTCTGGACCCTCAGGCATCCTAAGCCTGCAGCCCTGTCTCAGCCTCTACTATGTCTGTGAGGTCTACCAACAAGTCTGGGGCCTAGCCCCTCTAGAGTGGCTGGTGGCCAGAGAATGAATCCTGTGCAGCCCTGGTGGCTCCCAGACCTATTCCCTACAGAGCTAAAGAGGCTTGGAGTCCTATGCCAACCCAGGTGGCTGTTTCCGGTCCTGAGAGCCGGATCTGCTAATCTTAGCTTGAGTGACTGGGCCTCAGGGGTTAGAAGTTCAGCCTGGACTACAGGGGCCACAACTGCCCTGAACTGTTCTGTCAGTCTGTCCCCCAGGGGTGGGGGGCCTGGGGAACATTCCTTCCCTGGCATTAATGGCTTGGAGGGAACAATAAAGCTTTTTTTTCTCTGTGTGTGATTGTTTCTTCAGTATAGTCTCAGCCTGAGCAGCCTGACCTTGGGCCCTCCAATACCTCGTGCAAATTGGACCCTGTTAAGTCTCAAGCTGCACTGGGACTCCACTCCCCAGCAAACCTCACGCCTAGTCCTGGGCTCCTGCCTGGTTGCAGCCCCCCATCTCTGGCTGCTCCAGGCTGTTCCTGGTCCAGATGCTATGGGCAGCCTGGGTCAGAACCTCTTGATTTAACCTTAACCTAGACAGACATGGTTACAATCGACTGTAAAAGGCGCAGAGGGTTCTATACCCTATACCTGGAGCAGTGAAAGAGTGCTTCCCTTTTAGCACACATGGTTTCTTTTCTGGGAACAGGAATGGAAGATTCCTCCTTCGGCTTGGCTGGCTCCTCCCCTCAGTTTCAGTTTCTATTTCTACTGTCTGAGCTGCACTCAGCAGCTTCCCCTTAGAGGGCTAAGCCAAGCGGAGCTCAAGCTCAAGTTCCACCCGTGGTATAGGTGAGACCCAGCTGGAGTAGGGGTCAGGGGTAGCCTGGGTTACTCCTTTGTCTTAGCCAGAGCACTTACCTGTTGGGTCTGGAGGGTTCCTGGCCCACCCTCAAGAGGGGTGGAGTCCTGGGCAGACTTTACACCAGACTAGTCTGACCAGGAGGTTGGGGCAGGGAGTGGGTGCTAGTGGGTGTGAGTCCCCTGCCATTTCCAGGATGGAGCTGCGACCCTACCAGTGGGAGGTGATCATGCCTGCCCTGGAGGGCAAGAATATCATCATATGGCTGCCCACGGGTGCTGGGAAGACCCGGGCAGCTGCTTACGTGGCCAAGAGGCATCTAGAGACTGTGGACAGAGCTAAGGTGGTTGTGTTGGTAAACAGGGTGAGTTGTCAGCCCTCTACTCGGCAAGTCTCAGGTGCCTCTCCAGAACTCCAGAGCTGTTGTGCTCATCCCACAGCTCACCTATCCTTTCACCCCACCTCAGGACCCAGCCATGTCGTGAGGGTTACCTTATCTCCTCCCTCCCTACCCCACCACTGCTCCCAGCCCTGGATCCAGTATTCTTTTCCCATCTCATTCTCCACCTCCAGGTGCACCTGGTAACTCAGCATGGTGAAGAGTTCAGACGCATGCTAGATGGACGCTGGAGCATGGTAACCCTCAGCGGAGATATGGGGTCACGTGCTGGCTTTGGCCACCTGGCCCGGAGCCATGACCTGCTCATCTGCACAGCTGAGCTGCTGCAAACGGCAATGACCAGCCCTGAGGAGGAGGAGCACGTGGAGCTCACTGGTGAGGGCAGGGGGGAAAAGGATGAGCACCTGGGGCACTTCTAGCAAAGGTGTTTTGTGGGAGAGGTTCTACTCACCACACCAGACCCAGCACACAGGCCAGTAGAAACACCTGGCTACAGTGCAGGTATTGGGGCATAGACCCTTCCCCCAGCTGAGTCTCAGTCTACTAATCTGTAAAATGGAGGTAAACCATCCTGGCCCAGCTGCAACTTGTGGAGGGAAAAAGGGATTCTTGGAAGAGTTGCAGGGACTATGAGAAGCAAAGTTCACAGGAAGGGGGGCTTTGCAAACGTCAGTCACAGCCTACCTCATGTTCCCCCAGCCTTCTCCCTGCTCGTGGTGGATGAGTGTCACCACACGCATAAGGACACTGTCTACAATGTCATCCTGAGCCGGTACCTAGAGCACAAACTCCAGAGGGCACCATCCCTACCCCAGGTGCTGGGTCTCACGGCCTCTCCAGGCACCGGTGGTGCCTCAAAGCTCGATGGGGCCATTAACCACATCCTGCAGGTCAGTTTGGCCCCTGTGGCCTTCCCACAACCAGGCCATCTGGGACCACATCCTTGTCTGCCTTCCCTCTACCCCTTCCCACCATCCCTACCCAGTCTTTCCCTGGTGGGGTCCAACCTCCAATGGCTTCTTCTGGCACATGGAATAAGCACCCAGCTCTCTCTGCCCTGGTTTACAAAATTCCAAGTGATTTAACCCCTGCTTGCTTCTCTCACCTCATGTCCCCCACCCTTCCTCTCATACTATGATTTCAGTGGCCTTCCTGTCTCTTAAAAATGTCAGTTTGGGCTCGGCGCCTATAGCTCAACCGGCTAAGGCGCCAGCCATGTACACCTAAGGTGGCGGGTTCGAATCCCCAGCCCGGACCCGCCAAACA